AGTAGTAGTAGTAGTAGTAGTAGTAGTAGTAGTAGTAGTAGTACTGCAGTACTCACTTGGCTCTGAAGTCGTCCTGGGCGAGGTTGGCGTTGTCGATACTCAGGTTCACGGCTCCTTTGGCGAGGATGGCAGCGTGAATCTGAACCACAGACAGAGCGGTTAGAGGGCACAGAACTCAACCAGGACTCAACCAGGACTCAACCAGGACTGAACCAGGACTAAACCAGGACTGAACCAGGACTAAACCAGGACTGAACCAGGACTCAACCAGGACTGAACCAGGACTAAACCAGGACTGAACCAGGACTAAACAGGACTGAACCAGGACTAAACCAGGACTGAACCAGGACTAAACCAGGACTGAACCAGGACTAAACCAGGACTAAACCAGGGAACCTAAACCCAGGACTAAACCAGGACTAAACCAGGACTGAACCAGGACTAAACCAGGACTGAACCAGGACTCAACCAGGACTGAACCAGGACTAAACCAGGACTAAACCAGGAAACCAGGACTAAACCAGGACTAAACCAGGACTAAACCAGGACTAAACCAGGACTGAACCAGGACTAAACCAGGACTGAACCAGGACTAAACCAGGACTGAACCAGGTCTAAACCAGGACTAAACCAGGACTAAACCAGGACTGAACCAGGTCTAAACCAGGACTCAACCAGAACTCAACCAGGACTCAACCAGGACTAAACCAGGACTGAACCAGGACCAAAGCAGGAAACCCTCCAGCAGCAGCAGATCTGTGGAGGTGTAGAAGCCTCCTGAGCCTCCTCACATCTCCTCCTCCCTCCCTCCTCGTCCTCGTCCTCCTCCTCCTCCTCCTCCCTCCCTCCTCCCTCCTCTCCTCCCCTCCCTCCTCCCTCCTCCTCCTCCTCCTCGTCCTCCTCCTCCTCCTCCTCCTCCCTCCCTCGTCCTCCCTCCTCGTCCTCCTCCTCCTCGTCCTCCTGAGTCCTCGTCCTCCTCCCTCCTCCCTCCTCCCTCCCTCCTCGTCCTCCTGAGTCCTCGTCCTCCTCCCTCCTCCCTCCTCCCTCCTCGTCCTCGTCCTCCTGAGTCCTCGTCCTCGTCCTCCTCGTCCTCGTCCTCCTGGGTCTGTACCTTGGCCTGCAGATCGGCGATGGTGATGAAGAAGGCGCCGAAGTCGCTGGAGGCGGGGCCCACGCGACTCTCCAGGAACTGTCGGATCTTCAGCTCCAGGTCTGCGTTGGCCTTTTCCAGAGACGCCACTTTGGTGAGATACGCGGCCAGACGGTCGTTCAGGTTCTGCATCGTGAACTTCTCGTTTCCGATCACGCCGTCGCCCCCTCCGAATCCTGCGCCGCCGCCGAACCCGGCACCGGCACCGGCACCGAAACCGGCACCGAACCCGGCACCAGCGCCACCTCCTGACGGAACCGAACAGAACCGAACAGAACCGAACAGAACCGAACAGAACAGAACAGAACAGAGAGACTTGAAGTTAGTCACTGTTGGCCCACATCCTCTGCATTTGACCCAGTGTCTCTGGGTTAAACCAGGTCTAAACCAGGACTAAACCAGGTCTAAACCAGGTCTAAACCAGGACTAAACCAGGTCTAAACCAGGACTAAACCAGGACTAAACCAGGTCTAAACCAGGTCTAAACCAGGACTAAACCAGGTCTAAACCAGGTCTAAAACCAGGACTAAACCAGGTCTAAACCAGGTCTAAACCAGGTCTAAACCAGGACTAAACCAGGTCTAAAACCAGGTCTAAACCAGGACTAAACCAGGACTAAACCAGGTCTAAACCAGGTCTAAACCAGGTCTAAACCAGGTCTAAACCAGGACTATAGCAGCTCATCAGAGTCTGATCTGGGGTTAGATCTCAGGAGCTCAGAGTCTGGATTTGGATGGAGCCTCAAAAACTGTTCTTGTGTCCTTGGGCAAGACAGTTGAGAGTTTTAAAATCTGCTGTAGAAATGTGATGATTAAATAAATAAAATTAACTAAACCAGGTCAAGCAGGACTAAAACAAGACTAAAGTTGGACTAAACACGTCTAAATCCAATGGAAACCTGCTCTGGACCTGGTCTGGACTCGGCCTGGCCCTGGTGGTCTGGACCCGGTCTGGACCCGGCCTGGACCCGGTCTGGCCCCGGTCTGGACCTGGTCCGGACCCGGTCTGGACCCGGTCTGGAGCTGAGCGTGGTACTGACCTGAGGAGAAGGACCTGGAGGCGGAGGAGACCCGCACGCCGCTGCCTCCGGCTCCTCCGCTCACACTGAAGGCGCTCATCCTGGCTCCTCCGATGCCTCCGCCCATCGACAGACCTGAACCTCCTCCCAGAGACAAACCACCGAAGCTGCTGCGAACCGACAGAGCCATGAGTGAACCCGAGACCTGAGCCACGACGAGTGTGAGCCACAACCTGCACCACCGCCACTTATAAAGGCAGAGGGGGCGGGGACGGAGGGGGGGGGCGGGGGGGACACTCCCATCAGCCCCGGGGAACACAAAGCACCTGCACATTTTTACATCTAAACCTACAGCAGAGTTTCCCAAACTGTGGTGCGTCTCCTTCAGGGACGTGGAGAATCTGAAGTTTGTGGGTTTGTCTCGTTCACGTTTGTCCCACAGTTCAGTCCTTTTGTCCTTTTGTCCTTTTGTCCTTTTGTCCTTTTGTCTCATTTGTGTCGATATTCACCAGGTTCCCTTTTTTCCACAAACAAATTTCCAATTTTTCCATGACTTTTTCATGACTAAAGTGAATTTTCCATGACTTTCCAGCGTGTGTGTGTATATATATATATATATATATATATATATATATATATATATATATATATATATATATATATATAGTGTGTATATACACACACACACACACACACAGGATTATTCGGCTTTATTCTGCACTGGGAGGAGGTGTCTTGCCCAAGGACACAACTCCACTGTGCTGAGGGGAGGGACAGAAAAAAAGAAAAACCTGATGGATTTTGAGCAGAGAAAAAGAACATGTCTGAGACGTGTCCAAAACACCTCCAACCAAAAACTGTCACAGATCAAATTCTTTATGCAAATGTTCTGCTGAGTCGACAAAACCTGCAAATGTCACGAGAAACGAAAAACCTGAAGCTCTTCTGTGCGTCTCACACAAAAACACGAAGAGGAGAAACGTTTAAACCCACTCAGGAAAAGAGCAGCAGAGACACAACCAAACTGGAATCAGTGATAAATGTGAAAAAAAAAGACAAAAAAAAGAACATGAAATTCCAAACTGTCAAAGAAACTGGAGACGGTTCAGTCACTGTTTTATTAAAGTGGGTAAAACTTTACAGAAAAATCTCTCCTGCGACGCACAAACCCAAACTCCTCCTGTCTGAATCCTACAAATGAAACTGAGAGTTAAAATAATCAAACAAATCAAAAGAAAAAGATCCACAAAAACATGAACCTCATGAAGAACAGAACAGAACAACACTGACTCTGTCTCCACTTACACAAACAGGGACAAGTGTTTATTTTCAAACTACAGACCAGTTCAACTCTCCCACTTCTCAAAAATAACTGTAAAAATATTTGTTCATCAAATTTATATAAAAATATGAGCTCCTTAAGCCGGACGTGACACTGCACGATTTTTGACCCTTTTTGAGATGATTTTTCACTCGTGCGACTGTTTTGGGGATCGGGACGACTTTTGGTTTCATCGTGTGTCGAGCTTCGTGTCGTAAACATGAGGTAAAGAAAACAGATGAATCCCTCACGTCCAGCTCCTGAGGTGACATTCCATGTCCCCAGATCTAGTCTCCATGTCCGGAGATCCGGTCGTCGAGGCCCCCGCCGTCGACTGCCGCCCAGATCCTTCTGCACCGGCCCCATATGGCTCCTCCCGCGGGCGCTGGGCCCACGTGAGGACGGCCCCACGTCGGGCCCCGTGGGGGAAGGCCCGGCCACCAGGTGCTCCCTGACAAGCTCCCACCCCAGGCCTGGCTCCAGGGTGAGGCCCCGGTGACGCCGATCCTGGCGACGTAACTGTGGAACTCATCATGTGGGGTGTCTGACCCGTCCCCCCGGACCTGTTTGTCTTGGGAGACCAGGGGCATGAAGCCCCCGACAGCAGAGCTCCTGGGATCATTCAGGCTCAAACCCTCCACCACGATAAGGTGACGGTTCAAGGAGGGGGGGATCGCGGATACAAGCGCTCGAAATGAGTTTCCTCCGCAGGGTGTCTGGACGCTCCCTTAGAGATAGAGTGAGGAGCTCAGTCACACGGGAGGAGCTTGGAGTAGAGCCGCTGCTCCTCCACGTTGAGAGGAGCAGCTGAGGCTCCGGCATCTGTTCCGGATGCCTCCTGGACGTCTCCCTCAGGAGGTGTTCATGTCCCACCAGGAGGAGGCCCCGGGGAAGACCCAGGACACACTGGAGGGACTATGTCTCTCCGCTGGCCTGGGAACACCGCGGGAGGTGGACTGGGGTGAAGGAAGTCTGGGAGTCCCTGCTTAGGCTGCTGCCCCCGCGACCCGGCCCCGGATAAGCGGAAGAAAATGGATGGATGGACCAGCTCCTGATAGACATTCGTATGTCGCAGGAAAATCAGACCTGTTTAAATCCAGTCGCCTCTCGTGAGGGTTTCTCTCTGTTGAAGTCGTCCCATGAGACGATTTGTCAGAATCTGTCAGACTGAGCATGTGTGGACACAGAAGAGGAAGCAGGACATGAGGTTGTGGAGGACGATGGCCCCGGCGAGTGTTTTGGACACAGGACATGGAGCCGCAGCTCATCAACCATCACAGAACACAACGTTTGGTGAAAAACCTGATGCTACTTTCCACCAGTTCCTGCGCATCTGTGGTTTTCTTCTTTGTGGTTTTCTTCTTCTGGAACAGCGTCTCTGGTCATTGTGTGAACGGACAGTGTGCGCGGGCAGTCGTGTCCGAGCTTCACTTCGTTCAGTGTGAGAACATGATTCGTGAGCTGTGAACTTTTAAACCCTGAGATTTGGTCGTACAGTTTAAACTGGAGCTGAAAATATGACACAGTGAACGACCGACATCAGTGATTCAGGTAAAGTGGTTCCTCCTCCGTGAATTGGTAGAAAATGTATCTACAGCAACTGAGTCAAAATAATCCAGAGTGCGTCTTTAGTGACCTTAATGTTTTTGAAACCCTCCATCATGATATTTTTGTAAAAATGACAAAAGTGTGTATTGTGTGAGTGTGTATTGTGTGTAAGTGTGTATTGTGTGTATTGTGTGTATTGTGTGTGAGTGTGTATTGTGTGTGTGTGTGTGTAAGTGTGTATTGTGTGTAAGTGTGTATTGTGTGTGTAAGTGTGTATTGTGTGTGTAAGTGTGTATTGTGTGTGTTGTGTGTGTGTATGTGTGTGTGTAAGTGTGTATTGTGTGTATTGTGTGTAGTGTGTATTGTGTGTGAGTGTGTATTGTGTGTGAGTGTGTATTGTGTGTAAGTGTGTATGTGTGTGTGTGTATTGTGTGTAAGTGTGTATTGTGTGTGAGTGTGTATTGTGTGTAAGTGTGTGTGTGTGTTGTGTAAGTGTGTATTGTGTGTAGTGTGTGTGTGTGTGTGTGTGTAGTGTGTGTGTGTGAGTGTGTATTGTGTGTGAGTGTGTATTGTGTGTAAGTGTGTAGTGTGTTGTGTAGTGTGTAGTGTGTATGTGTGTGTATGTAGTGTGTGTGTATTGTGTGTGAGTGTGTATGTGTGTGTGTAAGTGTGTAGTGTGTGAGTGTGTAGTGTGTGTGTGTGAGTGTGTAGTGTGTGTGTGATTGTGTGTATTGTGTGTGAGTGTGTATTGTGTGTAAGTTGTGTGTATGTGTGTGTGTAAGTGTGTATTGTGTGTAAAGTGTGTAGTGTGTGTGTGTGTGAGTGTGTATGTGTGTGTGTGTGTAGTGTGTATTGTGTGTAAGTGTGTAGTGTGTGTGTGTAAGTGTGTGTGTGTATTGTGTGTAGTGTGTATTGTGTGTGAGTGTGTATTGTGTGTATTGTGTGTAAGTGTGTATTGTGTGTGTGTGTAAGTGTGTATTGTGTGTGAGTGTGTATTGTGTGTATTGTGTGTAGTGTGTTGTGTGAGTGTGTATTGTGTGTAAGTGTGTATTGTGTGTGTGTGTATTGTGTGTAAGTGTGTATTGTGTGTAAGTGTGTATTGTGTGTGAGTGTGTATTGTGTGTAAGTGTGTATTGTGTGTGTGTGTATGTGTGTGTGTATTGTGTGTGAGTGTGTATTGTGTGTGTGTGTATTGTGTGTAGTGTGTTGTGTGTAGTGTGTATTGTGTGTAAGTGTGTATTGTGTGTGTGTGAGTGTGTATTGTGTGTGAGTGTGTATTGTGTGTATTGTGTGTAGTGTGTATGTGTGTGTGTAGTGTGTGTGTGTATTGTGTGTAAGTGTGTATTGTGTGTGTGTGTGAGTGTGTAGTGTGTGTGTGTAGTGTGTATTGTGTGTAGTGTGTATGTGTGTGTGTGTATGTGTGTGTGTAGTGTGTAGTGTGTGTGTAAGTGTGTAGTGTGTGTGTGTAGTGTGTATTGTGTGTAATTGTGTGTAGTGTGTGTGTGTATTGTGTGTAGTGTGTGTGTGTAAGTGTGTAGTGTGTGTGTGTAGTGTGTATGTGTGTGTAGTGTGTGTGTGTGTATTGTAAGTGTGTATTGTGTAAGTGTGTAATTGTGTGTGAGTGTGTGTGTGAGTGTGTAGTGTGTGTGTGAGTGTGTGTGTAGTGTGTTGTGTGTAGTGTGTATTGTGTGTATTGTGTGTAAGTGTGTATTGTGTGTGAGTGTGTATTGTGTGTAAGTGTGTAGTGTGTATGTGTGTGTGTGTAAGTGTGTATGTGTGTGTGTAGTGTGTGTGTGTAAGTGTGTAGTTGTGTGTGAGTGTGTATTGTGTGAGTGTGTAGTGTGTGTGTGTGTAAGTGTGTGTGTATTGTGTGTAAGTGTGTAGTGTGTGTGTGTAAGTGTGTGTGTGTGTGAGTGTGTAAGTGTGTGTGTGTGTAGTGTGTGTGTAGTGTGTGTGTGTAAGTGTGTATTGTGTGTAAGTGTGTATGTGTGTGTAAGTGTGTAGTGTGTGTGTGTAAGTGTGTATGTGTGTGTGTGATTGTGTGTATTGTGTGTAGTGTGTATTGTGTGTAGTGTGTGTGTGTGTATTGTGTGTAAGTGTGTATTGTGTGTAATTGTGTGTGTGTAGTGTGTGTGTGTAAGTGTGTAGTGTGTGTGTGTATGTGTGTGTAATTGTGTGTAGTGTGTGTGTGTAAGTGTGTATGTGTGTGTATTGTGTGTGTGTGTGTGTAAGTGTGTATGTGTGTGTGTGTGAGTGTGTGTGTGTAAGTGTGTGTGTGAGTGTGTAGTGTGTGTGTGTATTGTGTGTAAGTGTGTATTGTG